ATGATTCTTTTATCTTTTTATTACTTTTAACTGATCTTAACACTAAATTTTTTTTCTTGTTTAAAAATCAGAGCTTATCATTGCCATAAAGTGACACTATTTTAGTTAATGATCTATTCGATGTCTTTATGTAAAAAAATTAATTCCTTTATGTAAAAAAGTTAACTAATTTTTTTTTGTAAGTTTATATAGCATCTTTAATTTGGAATGAAGTTTATTTTTGATTTATTATTATAATTTAGTTAATGGATATAAACACTATTTAATAGATAAAGTTAAAGCTTGTTGGTTATTCAGAACACTAATTTACCTAAAAACTTTTCTTTTTCTCAGGTCGAGATCCATAACAAGAATTTAAATATTCTTTGTGGGGTTTGTAAATATTAGGCTCAAACTAAATTTTGCTGTTGGAACAAACCAACAGAAAAAAATGAAAACGTGTTCAATGTCATGGTGTCAGATGAGATTTTGCTATGTTATAATACCATAAACAAAATTATTAAAAGATTTACATCAACAATACTTCATTTAGGAATGATTTTGAAAACTCATTATGAAGCGTGCTTTTGTTGTCAGCATGTATAAAAACACAGTAAAAGTCTAAACTTTGCAATATAACTTAAAAAATAAAAAGCCTATACTGGTATCGGTGAAAAAGTCTGGTAATTCTCAATGATTGCGTACATCAAAAAAAGCATGGTGACAGCACACGACTCAGAAATAAATATTGAAAAATTGAAAAATGAATTCAATCCTCATTTACAATCTTGTCTATGTAATTATGAGGTAAAATACTAAAAAAAAATACTTGTATGAGGTAAAATACTAAAACAATCAAAAACTCTAAAAAATTGCAAACACTTATTTTGTTTTTTTTGCCTAATAGAAAATTTAAATGTAAACAAACTCAATGAAACCCTTTGTCCAAAATATAGAGAGCTTATATTATCTAAAATTTGCTGTCTAAAACAATCTTCTTTTCTAAATATGTTAACTGTTGAGTGTAAATGTAAAAAAAAAAGTTCAATATAATGAAAGAACATAGTTTAAGTACTAATCCTTAATGAATATTTGTATTGATAAATTAATATCACAAACAGCCCCATTGTTATCGCCAATATTGTCATTTATCGTCATCACCTTTTTTGGCTTCAGTATCATTGTCAACATCAATAACATCATACTTATTTAATAAGAGATTCTGCAATTTTTATTCTCACAGTGGATAATGATATTCCAAGAAGAGTTGAAGATATCGCATTCTATGCTCTTAAACAAAAGATTGCTAAAGATGGTGGACAAGTAGTTGAGTTAAAAAGTGGAGGATCTTGAGTAATAATGTTTTTTAGTTTTAACTTTTAAATTTATTATAACTATAAATTAGTTAAGCGTTTTTTTTCATAGATCTTTTTTTTTAACCAGTTTTGTTTTTACTTACTCCAAAAGTTTATGTAAGCAGTAACGAAGCATCAAATACAAATATAAAAGTAAGAAATGCTTTAATCAAAAGACACATAAAAGTTATGTCTGGCACATCCAACGATGCAATTTTTTGTCTGTAATCAAATCAAAAGTAATTTCAAGTAGAGACAAATGTTTAATATGGGATATTCTAAATACTAGAGGAATAGTAGTTTGTGCAACCAACATGATAACAATGAAAGCGAATATATAGAGCAAAAGACGTCTCCTCAAAAAAGAAATTAAAAACAGCTACTTTTATAGCCGCAAAAATAATAAAACATATTCGGTATAAAATAATTTTTGAATTATTAAGTAGGGCGATACATAAATATCACCCCTGTTATTTCAATTGTTGCTGTCTTTTTCTTTCGCACACATTTTATAAATTGACGGTTCATTTACAACATTCAAAATGTTTTATATTAACAGTACCGTGTCCCAGCCCTTTTTTTTGAAAATAACCAGTCATTAGAACAATAAAATCTTAAATTATTTTTTATTTGCTATTATTAAAAAACTCCTTAAATTTGCTCGTTGCCCCACCCTCCGATTGAGGTGTGTGAACTAACCTAGGCACGGTCTGAATATGTATTTTAAAAATACTTAAATAATTTAAAGAAATTGATTTAAAAAACTAAAACGATAATTAATAAGTAACAATATTTCACTATTTGTTAGCTAGCAAAAGCAAAAAACAAATTACATCTTCGTTTGTGCTTATCATTTGCAGGTAGGGCCTCCAAGTCTTTATATGTTATATTAATGTCTCACCCCTCGATTAGTAGTTTATTTTCTATTATATTTTTCAAAATACACATATTCAACAATTAGATACTTAAGATTCGTGTTCGTAGCATATTGAGGGCTTGGAGCCAGACTGAAAGATGTACCCTCGAGAAATAATAATGTTATCAAATAAAAATGATTTGTTTAAATTTTATATACAAAAAACAACAATTTTTAACTAAAAATTGGAAAGGTCATTTTTTATGACATTATGTTTGCAATATTTTTTTTTTAATTTTTCTGTAAAAAAGATTATGAATTTTGAAACCACTATAAAATATGGTTCTTTTGAGACCCAGGTTGATATACTTTTGAAGAAAAAAAAATTAATTAATATATAGGAGTTAGTGTGTAATCAAGGGTCATGGTGGGTGAAATTAAATACCTTGATCATAGCAACTTCTTTAGCATTTAACTTAGTTCCACTTCCCATAGTAGTCCTCTGTAATACAGAGGACTACTATGGGACTAATATGATTAGTTCACATTTGTTAGTCATTTGGTCTGCGTTAATATATGTGTCAATTACCTAGCATTAGCAATTCGTCTGTTGCAGTCAAATTTATTATATATATATATATATATATATATATATATATATATATATATATATATATATATATATATATATATATATATATATGTATATATATATATATATATATATATATATATATATATATATACATATATATATGTACATATATATATATATATATATATATATATATATATATATATATATATATATATATATATATATATATATATATATATACATACATATATATATATATATATATATATATATATATATATATATATATATATATATATATATATATATATATATATATATATATATATATATGTATATATGTATATATATATATATATATATACATATATATATATATGTACATACATATATATATATATATATATATATATATATATATATATATATATATATATATATATATATACCTACACACATACATACATACATACATACATACATACATACATACATACATACATACATACATACATACATACATACATACATACATATGAGTTTATACATGAATATATAAGATTATATATGAAATCATATGTTTGATAGGGTATATGAAAAACACTAGTGAAAAAAAATTAGTAGCTAAGATCTGTAACAGGTATTAAATACAAATAAAAGTTATCTAAACTTTAAAAAAAAAATAAACTTCTACGTTCAGATAAGCAGATTATGTGTTTTCAAAAGTATAAACAAATCACGCTCAATTGGAATGTTTAATTTCTTCGAAAAGCACAACTTTAAGCTATTTTAGAAATATCTGAAACAGTTTAGTTTTGAAACTTATAGCAGAAATACCTTTTAGATGGATATGGTAAGTGTGTGACCACTGGTAAAATCTGGTCAAATTTAGCCTGCGGAGAAACTTAGCTTACAAAATTTGCTTATTCACATTCACCCTTTTTTAAGTATTTTGCGGTGTCCTCAAAAACAGACAAAGTTTTGCAAAGGTCAAAATAATATTATTGACTCGCTCAAGAAACTTTCTCTAAAAATTTGTCTGTGTTTTTATTTTTTTTTTGCATTTATATGATCCTTGTCTGAACAGTTTCTAATTTCTATCTGGCATAGACAGTAGAAGCAAAAATATAGATGCGTGACTTTCATGCTGTCTGTTTTTTTATTTAGATGACAAGATGATACAAATACACCCTTAATTCAGTACCAATAAGATTCAAATTCCTATTGATAAGCAAACCCCTAGCAAGGCTCACTGTTAGTTCAACCCAGTCCACTATCAAGTTTCCAGAAGATTAAAAAGAGTTTCTAGTTATAAATATTATTTAAATAATAATATTATATTTAAACTTCCATTCATAGTATCAATGTTACTTTTTATTTGCGCATGAATGATTGTATTAACATTTGCCGTTACGTAAGGTTATTCATAATCAGAAAAAAAAACATTGTTTATCAAGTTGACCTTCTTGAATGGGTTAAATTAAAGTGTATAACAACGGCATATGCAATTTAAAATTTACTAAAATAACTTTACCACAATTATTCTCCATAAATTAATAAATTAAATTATTTCCTAAATAATTTACGATTAAAAACTTTTTTTTTTTAACTTTCGATTAAAACCTTTTTTCCAATAAATTATAAAACAGTGCCTAATAATCAAAGAATAATATGTTAACTCGTAATTACTTTTTACATATAGTTTCATTACTTTGCATACAAACTTGAAAAAAGTTTGAGGTTTATTGTTTTTGTACTATAAGTTATTTAATAAATTGTCTGAATTTTAAACAAAAATTTAGTTTAAAACTGAACAGTTTTTGTCATAAAACAAGCACTTTAATTGCAATCAAATAAATCTATTTTTCAATCTTTGGTTTTGTTTATTTATTAAAATTCCCCGTTAAGTGATTTGTCAGATCAAGTAAAACTTTCCGGTTATAATATTTAATGGCCCCTTTGTTGCTTAGAGCTCCTGGCGTTTGTCCACCCTGTACATATGGTTGTTACGCTACTAACTAGAAAATAGGTCTAAGTTGGGTGCTTAAACCGGTATATTAGTGCCAAGGTCACTCCAGGTATTTCAATATTTGTATACATTATTTTATACTTTAAATAGACCTGAAAGAATTTAAATACAAAACTTTTTATTTCGAAAATTAAATTAATATTGATAGATTATTAAATAAAATAAAAAAATAAATGCTTTTACTTGCTTCTCACAAAAAGGAATCTTTTGATTGCAATGTTGACAAGTAACCAAACGATAAATGCATTTTGTTTCCATGTGATCACATAGTTCTTTACTCAAAAGTGAAGCAAAACAGCGTTTATTGAGGCATTTTACTTCTTGATATTCACAAGATGATAGATGATTCTTAAATTGAAAAACATTTAAATTATTGTAAATTATTTTAGAATAGCGTTAACTTTTAAAACTTCTTGATTTTTTAAATGCTGCAAATAAGCGCTTTCCTCAAATCATTTTAGTAGGTTATTCTTTTTTTTTTTTTTTTTTGCATCTTATTAGAAACTTCTAAGAGATCTACCACTGTAATATTTTGTAATAAGACACATTTTAACAAAAAACTAAATTTATTCAAAAATATTTAAAAGTTACTAAAACCTTTTTGCTAAAAAAGTTTCTATATAGGGGTTGCAGACTTGTCGGTATTAATTTAACCAATTAGTTTATAATGGTAGAAGACTAAGCTTAGTCTTTTTTAAAGAGCCATTGCCTTAGGTTTATCCTTCCTTTTTTAAAAAGCTTGGCTTTATTCCAGTGCTTTAAAGTGCTGCTAATTCTTGTTTAATACAAGTCAAAACTTTTTTAGGCAATGAATTACAAGTTACTTATGAAAGTAAGACTTGTTACTTATATAAGTGAGCATTTTTTAGTAATCCATACTTATGTCAGTAAGAGGATGAATTACTAATTACTTATATAAGTTAGAGGGGATGACTTACTAGTTATTTAGTATAACCTGTTGCAGAAGTTATATTATATATATTTTCTGCTTGTTCTTCATATTTAATTCTTTTTTCTCATTGGTTCTGCAACACATGTAGACTCAAGTGCTGCTTTTACTTCCTCATGTATAAATAAACGTAAGTAAACTTTATGAGCCGATATAAAAATTTCATTGTTATTAGGGTATTTGAAAATAATATCTGGTAACTCTGAATTTAACTTAAAACCTTACTGGTTTCTTTTTAGTTCCACACTACTTGTAGACTCAAGCGCTGCTTCTACTTCCTCGTGAAATAAACGTATGTAAACTTCTTAAGCTGATTTAGCAGTTTTGTTTTTATTTAGATATATTTAAGGGAGTATCTAGTAACTCTGAATGTAATTTAAAGTCATTTGAATTATATAAATAGCATGGTAAACCTGCAATAACATATTTTTTTCTTTTCAGTAATTCACTCAGAAACAGCAGTAAATAACTTTTGACTAATGTTAGTTTTTTATTTTTTTTTTAGGACTTTGTTGTAAAAACAAAATTATTTAATTAGATTTTATCAGAACAAATCTTGTTTTCCCATGCCATAAAAATTAGTTTTGTAACATTAGGAGCTTGAACAATATCAGAGATGCCTTTTATTTCTTCAAATGTGTTATAGATATATTGACAAAAAAATTAGATCTTGTTTTAGTATCAAGAACTGGGTTAACCTCATTTCCTAATTCTGATCTACAAAGTTTAACTTTCAAAAAGTAATTTTCTTAACAGTTTAATAATTTTAGGAACCTTTAAAATGATGATACTACATTTTTCATTTAAAGTATTTCATTATCATTAGAGTTGACCTTTCTTCATTTCATCATTCTTCATTGTCTTTACTAATAGAATCAGAAAAAGATTCTTAATTTCAATTTGCTTCTTAATTAAAAAAATCTTCACCAGTTCTTTCTATTATTGAATTTTTTTTTTATAAACAATATCACATACCCAAGATAAACTCTATGACAATAGCAAAGTTGGTGGGTAACTTCTGTTT